TCCATATTTATTAATATGAACAAGTTAAATAACAAATAGATTTTAGTGATAGGATATTTTGTAGATTTAGAGTTGTCTTACTTGTGTTCACCTCCTTTTTGTTTTTTTTTTTAAGTTTCAACTGCGTCCTTGAGAGTTTTTTTTTTTTAAATCTAACTTTACAGTGATTTAGAAGAAATGTAAGTTTAAGCAAATTTACTTTTTCTCTTCTAAGTACAACACATTGTTAAAGATGTCATATTATTTTTCAAAACGAGCAAAAAAATTGAAAAAAAAAAAAGGAAAAAACGCCCTAACTATTATGTGAAATGAACCTGAAAGCATTTATGGCTCAAATGAACTGAGATGTATGAGGCAGCAGATGTTATACTGTTGCTGAAGCTACAACCGACCTTGGCTCTTAATGTGCACATTGTGTGTCAGTTGCTTTTCTTTTTCTTTTTCTTTTTTTTTTTCTTTTTTCTTCTTTTCTGTGATTAGTCACAATTGTTCGTGCTTTCGCATTTTTCTTTTCTCCCTTATATGTCATTTTTAAGTATAAGTGTATATTTCAGTTTTTGTAGTTTTTAGCTCAAAGGTTGCAAATTATGGTTGTGTGTTACACATATATATTATCTTGGTATGTGTAGCATAATATATGTATACGTATACATAAATATATGCATAGACAAAATAGGGTCGACAAATTATTTGTTAAATTTCCTCGAGAAGACAATAATTATTAGTAAACATTTACTATAAAAAAGAAAGAAAAAATAAATAAATAAAAGAACTAAAATAAAAAAGATAAGAAAATGTAAAATTTGCTTTAGGTGTGGGCGTTCAACACAAAGTCTTTGTATATAGTGTCGTTTTATTATTAATAGGCGTGTCATTAGGTGTCATTGCTCAGGATATTTTTCAATTGAGATTTTTGATAGCTGCGTTCAAGTTTAGGTCACCTGCCACGTTCAGCTTGTAGCTAGTAGATCAAGGATGTGAGTTACATTTGAAACTTTCAAGAACTCTTAATCCCCGTAAAAAGTTGACTTGACGAACATGATAATGAAATCAATCCTTCTAAACGCTTTCCTGAAATTTTTACCTTAGAGAAAAGCATGAAGTAAGTTACATCCACAATTCAGCAAAGTTTTGGGAAGCAAGTGGTAATCGCGTAGTAAAAATTTAAATTTGCAAACCATTAACTGTGTAATCTCGCCATTGGGTTAAGTCAGACTGAAGCAAAAACATTGTTTCACTCCACACAACTTTTATTTTAAAATAATCGAGAGATATATTTTGACAGGCTTGAGGCCATAGTGCGCTCATTGCTAACGAGATCTGCATTACAGATAGAGTACTTATTTAAGCTTGAACGGGAGATTTTGCAAATTCTTCTCACCCTTTTTTACGACACTTCAACTGTCGTTATCAACCGCCGCGCTTGGCCCGAAGACGCTGCATATCATTAGCTTATTTAGCTTTAGTTTCTCTGAATGGTTTACGTCTATTGAAATCTTTTGTGACCTCAGGTTTATTCAAATGATCATCTTCTTTGAGTTTTTTTCGAATCCTATCAATGAACCAGAATAAAACTAAAGCGGATTTGCGCTTTTGGTAAAGTATTGTACCCTTGATAAGTACCATGAGCTCGCATGCCTACGCTGTGCTTGTTTGATTTGCTCGAACACAATTCTACAAGTGAGGCCCGGCATTTCTTTGCGCGCATTCTCAACTCCTTTGACGGTTTACCTTCCTACAGCTCTTATAGTCTGACCTTTAAAACCGAACACCTTGCCGTGGGCAAAACGCTCTTTAAATCAACTCGTAGTTTTAACGTTGAACCTTAGACGATTTTTATTGAATGTTTATTGAATGTAAGCTCAAGGGTTGCTAAGTTGTTATGATGTCTACAATACAATGATGTCGTCAATCTTTCGCAACTCAAAGAAAATGACTTTTGTTTGCACTTAATTTTTTTTTTTTTTAACTAATCATTTTTATTTGTAATAAATCCATTTTGATTTTTATTATTATTGGTATTATTATTACCATTTATATTTTTATTATTACTTTACCAATTTGATTTAAATAATTGAAAACATTCTTAGTTGATTTTTTAATTTTTGTAAATATTTCCCTAATACAATACTTTTGCTATTTTACATCATATGTTATTATAGATATTTTCTTTTTTTTTTTTTTTTTAAATTTTTTTTTTTTTTTTTTTTGAAATTGTGTATTTGATTTTCACGTATTTATACATACAATATTATTATTACAAAAATTATTAAAGATCGCATTATTCTTATTCTTATCATTTTTATACACATCACCCTAAAATACATGAATTTGGCCACTACATGAATTTAAGTTTGAGTAAGTTTTGGAGTCCGCCTATGAAAACTAGGATGACTTTCTCAAAAATTTGAGCAGAGAATACATATGGAACTGGATTTAGATATCGGATTGACCTGTGATATGATACGGTAAGGCCGCATTCTGCGGTAAGAAAGATACTTTGGCATGGAAAAGCAGCAAAATTTGATAATCGTCAAGAAAGGAAGGACAAAAATAATTGCTTCAGTTATTATTCGCAGTATGTAAAGAGCCTGGGCTTAATTTTTATTAGTTTTAAAGGTAAACAACAATCGACTAAATGGGTGTTCCAAAGTGGGTCATCGAAAATGAAACAAAATCAAAAAGTATCATCATTATTTGAATCATTACAAGAGTCTTTTATAATCTTCGATCCAAAGAATATCGAATTTATTTTTATAAACTCGAAAGCACACTGATCAATAGTAACTCCGCTCATTTTGCAAAAGTCTTCATTTACGATTGAAGCGACTTTGTTTTTGCGACAAAGTTTTTAGAAAAATAACAATAAAGACATCGCAGTCGTGGATCTCCAACCATTGCCCACATAGTCATAATTTTACGGCTTTAGATCTAAAGGTGTACTTTAACTTCTACAAATTAAAAAGAAATGTCCTGAACGGAGAGAGGCCGCATTGACGCATTTAAAACCTGTGTTTAATTGATGTTAATCGAATAGCTGACTGCTTAGTATAACAGCGCTTAGAAATTAGTTATCGTCATATAAAACATTTTTTGAATTAGAAAATTTTAGTAAGAGAATTATATTCGGGTGCGACTGTAACTTTGGTACCCATTACAGTTGTGGAGACTTTATACGATCCCGCAGTGAAAAGCTTCCAATCTTTGTGCCAAATTTGAAGCCGATTGCTGTTTCTTCACCGCAGGAATGACACAAGAAGACGAACGAACAGGCGGACGGACGTATAGAAGGACCTACTTATGTTTGGTTTACAAGTTGATGATGCTCAAGAATATACATACCTTATAAGGTCTCTGATGTTTCCTTCAGGGTCTTGCAAGAGCTTTTATCAAAGAATATGTTCCCTATACTTTGTTGATGGGTTCACATACGGAGTTCTGAATGCATATTTTGATATGTGTTCGTACTTCTGTTTGACTTATATCGAACAATCTTAATTTAGCGTCAAAATAAGAGACGGCGGAGACTTAATATAGTTTCGGATCCCAACAAACCCCAGAGAAGATACATTTTCCCGCTACGCATTTTATGGAAAGAAATGATTTCCTTGTCTTTCACAGGTTTTCTAAAATGTTTTCTTTGATTTCGTATGTTTTAGCTTATACCTTCCGATTTATAAATGCTTGTACTTTTCTACATTGTGTCTAAGAATTAAGAATCACACAGATTACTTTCATTTGCTTCCAAGGTGCCAAAAAAAAAAAAGAAAAAACTAGTGGTGATGACTATCGGAAATTCGGCCTAAGATTTTTAACTTTTTTTTGTATTTTTCTTTTGTATACAGACAAGAAGTTTTTATGTAATTTTGTATAATACATTCACGATTACAACAAATACTTAAAGTATAGTATACTTATTTTTTAAGTATTTGCAAAAGAAAAATTTGTTGTATGTATAGGTGTAAATGAAAGAACTAACAATTATTTATAGAAATTTTTTAATTTTCCTCTTTTTTTTTTTTTTTTTTTTTTTTTTGTTTTGAGAATAAGGAATTAGCTACAATTACTACATATTTTTTTAATGATTTTTTAATATTTTAAAATCTCGTTTGTTTTTTCGTATTGAAAATTTTTTATTAATGATAATTAAGAATTCTATTGCATATTATTGTTATTGTTTTTGTATGAGACTAAGTATATATAGAGTTACCTAATATTAGGGCCTTAAATGTATGTGCTATCGATTTTCTACACGAGAGTAAGCGAAAATGTTACTGACAGTTAGAAAGAGAAAGACATAGATAGAGATATAGATAAATAGATAGATAGATAGATAGAGAGGGAAACAGAGAGAGAGAGATAGAGAAAGAGAGAGAGGGAGTGAGAGAGAGAGAAAGAGAGGGAGAGAGAGAGAGAGAGAGAGAGAATAAAACTTTTCGTGTATATAATAATATTTTACATGCCTGCAAACCAAAGAGAGAACCCGGGAATTTCTTTCCATTTCCAGAGTTCTATTTCACTTCCTTGCTAATGGCCTTATGTCTGCTTTTCTTTCTTTTTTTTATCCTTATATTCTTAATCTAAAACTTCTCAATTATAAATGCGAGATTTTGTGTTGTGTTTGGAAAGTTTTCAACTGAGGAATTTAATGTTTTCATTGTTTTTTGCATTTCTAATCATATGTCTTTTAAGATAGTTTTTTATACAATTTTTTGTTATACTACCGTGAAGAAAAGAGAAATGCTAAAGTATACGCTAGCATAGAATTTGAAGTAGATTTGCCGCGCTTATCTAGCTGCCGGTGTAAAGTGATTACATAGTTGAGTTTTTAAAGTGGTCTGAATTTCGTAATGATCGGAGAGCATTTCGAGAAAAGTAGAGAAAGTTATTGAAGAAGAGTTAAAAAGTCAAATTTCGACACATTGTTTAATTGAAGTGGCGGGTTCACCATAAAGCGAATGTAGTTTTCGTATATTATATGATTTGATTTTTAATTTTTTTTGCTTTTTTTTGTTTTTTTTTTTTTTTTTCTTTTCATTTTCTCATAGATTAAAAGCAGGAACTGAGAACTCTGTGTTTGATGCATCCCGAATAAAAATATATATTTTTTTCATTGGAGGGAAGTTTTTTATCTTCTAAGCTTAAATTTTGCTCCTTAAACATTCCCTTTTTTATTTTTCAAAAAAAATTATTAAAACCAACAACTATTAAATGATCGCACACGAAAGTATCCTAAACTTAATTTGAATCGCTGAACAAATTTTCATTAGCTTTTAAAAATTTCATTTTGCGAGCCATTTAAACGTTTCAGCATAGCGTTACGATGTAACCAATATGGTGGCGGATCTGGTGGTTGGCCGGGAAGTGTTGTTTTACTTTTTAGGCTAATTTTCGCATTGGTGGTGGGACTGTTGGCCGCGATAGCTGCACTGTACATCACGGGATCTGCGGCGTGTGCAGCATGTCCTAGACCCACGCGAACCGGTTGTTCTTTCTTGCGTATTGTCTCACAAGTTTCTTTCATTTTGCACAATTGATCTTGTAGATTGCGATATTCCTCTAAAAAGCGCTCCAACTGAGCTGCATGATAGTCATAGGCAGTGACCGGTGTGGTAGTTGTGGTGGGATGTTGCATAGCTGCCGGATGGGAGCCACCCGGTGTCCCCGTAGTTGGATTTGCCAAACTAGTCCGTGTTGTCAGTGAGGTGAAGTCCAGGAGAGGCGTTGCCGCTGAACTAAAAGATCTCTGATGCTGCTGATGTAATTCATGCACCGGTGACGACGGCAGACTGGGGTTTCTGCGTTCTCCGGCATTGGCTATACCTGCTTTATTACTGGTAGCCGGTATTCCAGATCCCTTATTTGTGCTATGCACTAAATTAAGGAAACTGTTCGATCTTTGGCCTTTGGTATATGTGACAGTACCACCACCATAATTTGAATAAGATGACTCTGCCGAGAATCGCCGTCCTAACGCTACTTCATTCAGATATGATCCGTCGCCACCTAATGTACTGCTGCCGTACTTACTTGAATTATCCGCTAGTAGAGGACTTTGGCTATCAGAAGAATTCTTGAAAAATTTCCCTGTATTTTTAAGTTTTCTAGGTAGCGTACATAGACCGCCATTAGCCTGAGTAGAACTAGTCGCTTGAGCTACCGCATATTTAGCTATGTCCAGTAAGTCCGGATAGTTACTGTCGAAGAGATCATTGTCAGAATTATCTTTTTCACAAAACACCGATCTATTAATTTCATCTTTAGGACTATAATAACCGGCGGTGTTAGGAGATGCGATTTTTGTGGTAGCTATAGAAGTAGTAACCCAGTTGGCTACGTGATTATAAACTGGACCATATCTTGAGTTGGCATCCACTTTACCGGATATAGAAGTCGGAACAGAATCGGTTGTAGATCTGAAAATAAATTAGCAACACAATGTTAAAGCTTTGTAAACACATTCTGAGCTCATATATCAAAATGTTTCGAAGAAATGAAATGAAACGGAGCAATTTGCATTTGCGGGATAAAAAGCTTACGAAGATGTCTTTTAACTCCTTATTCGAATAAAGCCATGCAAAAGAAAAAGAAAAGGAAGCAAAATCTCTGTCACCTTGAAAGCAAGAATTGTTCATCGCTCATACAATTGCAAGTAGAAAATTCAGCTGATGTTTATAAATATATACATCTATATATATATATATAAATTTACGACATAATCAAGTTTTGCTATTTTCGAACGAACTTTCCGATTCAAAGACTGGCGAAGCTTTTAAAATGATTTTCTATTCGTCATTCATTTCGTCAATCTCATATACGAGTTAAAGTTTTAAGGCAATTAATCATGTAAGGATAGCTGCTTCTCTTTGAATTAAGCGAAACGTCATCAACAAAATTAATATGTTTCAATAATGTTATAAATTTTAATAAGCATATCATCATTTAAAGCAAATAAATTTCAAGCAAAGGAAGGTCAAGAGAAAGCAACGAACAAATATTTTTATGAGCCCCTTCAAGTAGAAGGACTTTTTTTTTTCTTCTGTTTTTTAACACCTCATTAGTATGTTTTCTCGTTGGACTCATTGTTAAACTGAGGCCTCTTGAAAGCCGTGAAATGCAAGCAAGAGCGAAAGGGTAAGACACTTTCGGAAAGAGAACGGAAAGAGAAAGAATGAGAAAAGTGTCAAGTGTAAGCCATAATAATCTCGGCAACAACAGCAATAACAGACAACAAAAGAATGCAAGCATGCAAGCTCATGCACACGAAAAAAAAAAAAAAAAAAAAAAACATTTGCACACTCATAAACATACACACAGAGAGAATAAGACAGATGGCGACTTACACTCACAAACTGACTGGCTCACTTGACATATACTTTGGCTTAGTAGTACCATGATTTTTCGAGTAATCTAAAGACAAAAAATGAAAGGAGAAATATGTGCGTTAACATGTTCGTCCCGTACAATGACTTTCGGATGTGCGTATTTGTGTTCAAACTTATCATATTGCATATTTATACCTACCCGATATCAATCAATCGTGGTATATGTAAATCGGTGTCGTCCATTGTCTTTGACCCACTATTTCCCGTTGTTTCGCTGCCAGTCATTCCTGCCACCAAAGATGCTTGGTTGCCGCTGTTATTACGTGCTATATCCTGAGGACTTGTAGTGCAATGTAGCGTGGCGTTGCCCTTACTCCAGCGCCCTGTTGTTATGCTTGAGCTGTAGCTAGAATTGTTGGTCGATGACATGCTAATATTATGTGTTGTTGCCGGTGCTGTCGCCTTTTTTAAAAATAAACTTCTTTGATAAGTGCTTCCGTTCACTGAGGTGGGGTGCTGCATGCTGCTGCTGCTGGCTGTATTTGTGTTGTTTTCGTTATCATCATCATCGCAATGTGTTGGTACGTTGCGATAATCACCGTTACGCTTTGCACTCCCACCGCTTGGATTGACTATAGCGCCACCCGTATCGCCATTATCATCCGAACCACAGTTGAGTGGAGCAGTGGCCGTGCATAAGTAACCATTTTCATCGTTATGAAATAAATTTCCGGCCGCGTTTGCATTTTTAACGCTATCATGTTTGCCCAGTTTACCGCCTAGATCGGGTTTGCTTACCCCGCCCGAACCTAAAACACCAACACCGCCGCTAGCACGCGAAGTCATTTCCATTTTTTCATAACTTTCGCTACGTCCCTGAGGCACTGTATTCCACAAACGCATTTTTCGTTTGCGACGCAGTGAGCATAAACAAACTGCCGCAAAAGAAGAACCAGCAACGAATAACAAAGCTATGAAAATACACAACAATATCACTTTGAATCCTAATGGAGCCTCCGGCGGCCGTCTAGATACGGCCAATGTGACTGAAGCTTCGACTTTTCCAGCTTTGTTTTCTGCAGCACAAGTATAAATCCCTGCGTCTTGCATATCCGCCGTGAGTATGGTTAAATTTGAAGCGTTCCGTAACATATTGACTACGTAAGTTTTTCGTCCTTGAGTGGCAGCTGCAGTACGGGGACTGGTAGATGGGTAATCTCCGTTCGAAGCGGTCAGGTTAGCAATTATGCGATTCTTTACCATCCATCTTACCGATGGTTCAGGCACACCTTCAACAAAACAGCTCATAGTCACATTGCGACCTTCAACACCATGGGCCGTAGTATCTGTCGCGATAATTTGCGGAACGCAAGCAAAATCATCTAGATCAACTTTATCCCATGACTTGCCAACCAATCGAGGGGGACTTTGGCAAATGGGTGGTATACCGCAAGGTATATTCTCTCTTAACATCCAAACTCTTAAAGGTCTTAAAGCGCAAGAACAATTCCACTGATTACGTGATAGTGAAATACCATGTAAATTAGATAGAGAAGTTATAGTACCCGATCTTACTTCGCTCAGCTTGTTACCATCCAATTTTAAGTACTCTAAACTAGATTCCAACCCGGCAAACGCTTTCACTTCCACATTAGAGATGAAGCAGTCGCTTAATTCCAGTCGCACCAAACGCTGCATTCTTAGGAAAGCGTCGTTGGCCACTATGTGAATGGGATTGCCATTTAATTTTAATTCACGTAATTCGGTGACCAATTCCAAAGCTTCTGAGGGTATACGCGTTAAAGCGTTATAGCTCAAATCCAATTCTACCAGATTAATTAAACCTCTCAAAGCATGACGTTCTAAAATACTTAAACGACATTTGGCTAAGTAAACTTTTTGCAAATTAAGCAAATTCACTTCGACAAATGTATCGTCGGGAATGCTAGCGATCTCATTGCCGGTTAAATCCAAAACTTGAGTACCAGCATCTAAAGGTGCTGGTATATGCGTTAGGTTTGCATTAAGGCACAAAACAGACTCTTTGCCACTTTTCCATTTACACTCGCAAACACTCGGACACTCGGCCGTTGAATTGTGAGCCAAACTGCTAAGACAACACACGAGCCAAAGCAATTGCACCAATGGTATGTGACGCAAACTTAATCGGGGCGGTGGCGGTGGTAGGGGTAACAATAAATATCTTCTTGTCGCGAATAATCGAATTTTTGATTTTCTTCTCACTTTGGCAGATAACGTAATTTGTCTATCGGTATTATCACATAATGTCCTTGTTGCATTGCGGAGATGTCTGCGATTTTCTAACTGAGTTGTTTGAATGCCATTGAAATCTGAACAATAACGCTCGGAGTGGCCAAATGTTTGATATTCGAAATGTTCCGCATGACAGCATTTTTGTTCTGTTTGCTGGTCTTGAATTTCTTCCTTTCCTCCTTCTAACGCTGTTGATGTTGTTAATGCCGGGCTTGTCGTTGTTTTTGTTGTTGTTGTTGTTGTTGTGTTTCGTGTTAGTTTGATAATTTTGATTCGTGCCATGGCATATCAGGCTTTTACAATTGTATTTCAACTTGCAATTGCATTTATGTAACATACTCCACATTTATATTCATAAGCTGCAAAGAGCCTATTGCGATTATTGTAGCCCGCGCTGATGATGAATACGTATTACAAGCCCAGCTGCATATCATATTTCAGCCAATTACGGCAATATCCTGAATGGCTTAATCATGACGTTGCGATGGCAAGATAATATCATTAAAATTTTGCTCGCTTCTCTTAAATGATAATAATTGTTTTACTGCTTTCAAGCTTACATCGCATCGTTCATAAGATTGACTTACAATTTTGACTTTAGGTCAGTTATTAATGAGAAATAGTTCTCATAGAAGGAAAACAGTTGAGGTAACGTAAATCTGTAACAGAGAGAATATCGCAATTAAATTTTTAAATTATTTAAAAATGTTTTCTATAGTGACTTAATTCTTAATTGTATTCTTTGCTACTCGTTCATTCAATTTTCTCTTTTCCCCTTTCAAATATGGTCATATGGTAGTATATGAAATAAGCTGCGATGTTTTAATATGAATATATATCTTCTTCGTACATATATATGTACATATAAATTTTAATTGAACACCAGTTAAGCCATGAAAATCTAACGGCTCCACCTCCGTGAGTTGTGTAAACACATAAAGACCTTATGAAGACAAAAAAGCAACGGGAAAAAAAATTTTATTAAAATAAATTGTAGTAAATTGCTCTTAATAGAAGAACACGTTTATTAAATTTATATTTTCGCTTTTTACGTTCAGCGAAATGAAGAGAAAGCTACTTCGTGAAGTTTTACGATGAAATAAAACAACTTTAGCTAACTTTTAGACTCGATGGAACTAAATGTTAAGAATAATACGAGGACAATAGCAAAAAGAGAGCGGAATGTCGTAAGGATAAAAAAAGACGCATGAACTAGTTTTAGATTATCTTTATGTATTCAGCGAGGATTAAGTTTTGCTTTTCATTATTTGTTCAATTTCTTTCGTCTTTCTCGAAGAGAAGAGCTGCAAATCATATAAATTGGGGCGAAATGACAATATCGAGAGCTGTTGTGAACTGACTTACTGCGCATGTGATCAGTTAATCAATTGGCAACGACAATTACATCTGAGTAGAGTATAGGGAGACTGAATATTCTCCTGCTTCGGGATCGAGCTGCAAAGCCCATCAGACAATTCAATATGGTCCGTAAGGGAACTGACCAATGGGAGAAGCCTCCTAAGTTGAGTTCATTAGAGAACTGTCCGATCAGACTAACAATAGGCCGATATGTAATATTATAAATTGATGAGGTTACTTTAACCTGAATAGAAATTTTTATTTTGTTAAAGAGTCAGATTAAAATAATTAAGTGGTGAAGATTAGCAGTAAAATAGGAGGGAAACATTAATCATTACAATAGTAAGTTATTAAAGTAAAAGATTGGACTGAAAAGTGGGGACAAAAATTTCTTTCTTTTTTGCTTTGGAGGAAGGAACTTAAAGAGAAAGGAGAAATAGAGAGGTTGAACGAAATATTTAATATCATGTTGACCGGAATAGTCGCTGTGGGATAACTTGACCACCTTAATGAAACTCTGCCTATCCTTAAAGGAAAAATTTTCACTCCTCAGAACGTTTCTGAGAAAGTTTCCCTAACTGTCTAGAAGTTGTGCAGCTTGACCTACATTGACATTAGCATTGACGTTACCAGCTGTACATCCTTATTAGGAATTATCGTCGTTGTAAACACACACGATTCCCCATTACTCCTTCAAAAAGCTTACTGCAAATAGTTGACTTAATTAGCTCAGGAAAATGGAAAACTTTAAATCGAATATATTGCTGGGAATAGATGCGATGAAGGTTCATGGAGAAGATGAATAAATGGCGGAGACATTGTGCGATCTAGTGATGAGCGGACGAGAAAGTAAATACCCAACATTTTCTTATAAGACAAATCCAACCTCTTATTTTCTGTAGTTGCGGAACGGCATGATGATGTTGATAAAATCTTCTTGCTCCACAACAAACATGGATTGTCTGAAATTTGCTCCAAAGGGGAATAGAACTAGAGTAACTCTTTCATATTTTTTGCGTAACAATTTTAGAGTAACTGTCAGAGGTAGGAGCGTAGATATTGAAAGATATTTAAATGTTTTTAAAAGATTTGCAAAATCATTTAATTATTCATAACGAAAAGTTTATGGTTTTATGTAAACTAGCAACAAAACTGTCTTAGGGGAAAACAATACAATAGACTAACATGTCATGTACAACACTATAAATTTCATAGAAAATTTTATGACGTATTTATAAAATAGAAAATTTAGTCTTAGGGAGAATGCAGAAAATTCACCATTGAAGTAGTTCCTAATTGAGGGGGTGTTGCTCGATAGTTGTTTATCGTGATTTTCTTCTTTGTAGCAAAATACATGACAACACCATAAGCGTAAAAGTCGCGTTACGTAACAAGAAAGTTTTCTTTTGCTTTTGTTACATAAAAATGGCATCGTTGCAGCTGTACTATGGCTTAAAAGCATCGATTAGGATACAAAAAAAAATTATAGCATTAGTATGAGGAAAATCAAGAGCTTATATAGACGAGTGTCAAAAAGCTTCAAGACATCTGTCAATAATTTCCCGAACTAGCTAAAAAAAGCGTTCTTCATCGACATAGTACCCTTCCAGTGTGATGCCAGCACTCTAACGCTGTCCTTACATATCGAGGCCTTTTTTATAGAACGACTTGTTCGTGAAATACAGTAATTCGAACTTCAATTCATGTGCCCTTGACTACGCAGTCAACGATCTGTGGCGCGGTGGCCATATTAAATTGTGAGTAAATGCTTTAGGTGTCTCGGAAAAAGTTCCCTTGTAATCAAAATACTTATAAACGATAGTGGATACTTTCAATGGCTTTTGATGTCGCTAACAAGACAGCTACTAGTTGCACGACTCCTTTTAAGTTCAACAAAGAACCGAAAAATTTTTGAATGGAGTGTTCATGACACTTGTCAAGTCATAGCTTCTTTGGACTGGATTTTTTCCGATCAAAAATCATTGTTTAGCCATTGGATTATAACAAAAGTACGGTCACTAAAACCACCACTGAATTGTGTGAGCAAAGCTTCGAAATGACATTATATTTAGACGGTCGTCGTTTAAGCTTTGACTGACTAAAACCAATATGAATAAGAGAGCGCACATATAGTTCAGTCAAGGTAATTATATACCCAAGTGTTATCTGGCATGGGACCAAGAACGTAAAATAACGCAGTCTAAATTTACTTATCCTATCAAAGAAATTTCAATATAAGACTTAAAAAAATTAGTGGCCGCTGTCCATTTACCTTTATATTACACACCGTTATACGGGAGGAACTGTAAAAATGGACCAATGTGATCTAAACATTAATATTGCACATCAGTCTTTCATTATAGAATACCTAAACTTACAACTGGTTGCGGCATACGGTCTAAGGGTTAGTTTTGCGACGCCTTATAGCAAGCACATTTTTCACGCATTTTTACGTAAAAAATGCATAATAATTTTCAAAACGGAGCGTCAGCTCGGGAATGATCGTAAAAGCTTCTCTATTTGAATAGGCTTTATCAGTGGAGTTAAAAATTATTGCATAATGAATTTCAACTGCATAAATTCAACACAATAACACGTGGACAAGGACCAGTTTAAAAGATGGTCGATTAAAAAAGTGAGCCTGGATCGATTGATATAATAAAAGATGAGCCTATCTTAATTTCTGCTTGTTATTATGTGCTTCCGTCGACATAAACTTTGTGTGTTTCCATTACAAACAGTGTGGAATATAAATTTTACATAACGTAGAGAATGTGCCATAGAAAACGAAGAGAGAAGTGGATTTCTAAAATCACTTTAAAGTTTCAAGCAAATGAAGAGGAACTTATGAACCAATCCAGCTGATTGCCGAACCTTAAGAGATGGAATGTGCAGAATACAATTAATATTAGTATGTGTATGTGTATTTCAAATGTAAGCTATATTTAGTTGAATTTGTATTTAATAATGATAAGCAACCCGCAGTTGATATGAAGCATGTGATGTCAGCTGACACAATGTTTGTGACTTTAAATACACAAGTACTTCTGAGAAGAAAGCTCATTTCGTTAACGAAAGCTGATGACGTTGTTTGCCTGCCTGCCTCATCATAGCTTATATAGGTAAAGCTGACGTATATACACGTTTGGCACAATGTCTTAAGAGAATTTTTTGCAAACGTTCTTTACTTTAACGTAAAAAATGGAATAATAACTAAAAACAATTAACAGGAAACCGAGGTACCTGTCGCGGAGATATGTTCTTCAAAAAGTATTTCTGAATGTTACAAACAAAATTACAATTCGTTCATAGAAGTTGTGCTCTCAAGCGAAGTCTGTTAACATTAACTTTAGGTCAGTAGCTCTCAATTTCTTCAAATTGAACTTTCACGGCCCACTTACTTACTAACTTACCCAAGTCGGGCCGTAGGAAATTTGTAAAAATTTCATTCTGTTTTTCAAAACTTTTGTTACAATGACTCTGACCACCTGGTGGTAGTACTTAAAAGAGCCATGAAACGAAAAAGTGCCTAGCGTAAGCCTCCCTAAACTGCAACTCAATGGTCAATCATTTCCGGAGCTAATGCATAGAAGTCGCCTTTAACAAAAAATGGCCTGTAGAGAACCCCAAATCCTCAAACGACAACAAAGTCAATGACGATAAGTCAAAATTTCATATTTCTTTTACGCATTAACGAATTACGGGTTAGAGTGTTATTAGTGGTGCCACTTGTGTTACAGTCCAAATTTCCTGTGTCGGCAAAAGATGGTTTTCCGTGAAGAGAAATACGCCTTAAGCTCAGCATAGGCTTGAAAAGCGTTTTGAAAATTCGATGGGTTCTTGATTTTGAACATGTCGTACGGCTATCGATTTTGCTTCACGCAATGGACCCTCAAAAGCGGTTGTTACATCAGAAAGTATCAATATATTTTTGAAAATTTTTATAGCTGCAAGGGAGAGCCGACATCCTAAAAGGCAATGCATAAAAATTTCGACATGAGAAAACTATTTTGCTGCCGCCGGGGAATGAAGGCACGGTCTAATAAATTCATGGCAACAAAATTGGATGAATTGAAGTTTGGATTGCTGTCCCATACGCAGTATTCTACAGATCTGGCCACCTTGAACTACTACTGCCTGTATGGAGATCTCAAAAGTATGCTTCAGGGAAAATGCTTCCAGTATCCAGAGTCTTAGAAAATATTTCTATAATTCTTCAAGAAGTCAGAGGACCGTTACAATGTTTGTATCATTTTTGAAGGAGACTATGTTGATGAATGAAGGCGAGAAAGCCCCGGGA